GAAGAAACGCACTGAGAAATTAGGCAGAGTAAACGTCAATCGTCTTCCAGGTCGGTCGCCAGTGGATTGGACACAGTGAAGAACAACGAACTGATAACAGTGGCCATCTTGTTATCGTTTTTGATCAAGTTCAAATGCTTGAAGACGTGTTTATGCACCGTTAAACTGTGTACTCTGCGTTGAACAAAGAGGCGAGATTTCTTACGCATTCTCCAAAAATAGATCCATTACTCCGCAAGCACCTTACACATTTGCACTTGGTCTATATATTGTGGATTTGGAAGCAATCAGTTCTCAAATTGAATTGGGATTTAGTCTAAGATTTGTTATTGGAAAATATAGACAAAGAATATGTCAAAAGACATTGTGGTAAATGAAACGGAATAATGCACGCGAGTCCGGAGTCCAATTAAACAGCTACTGTAGAACTAAAAAAACAAGCGTCTGACAAGCTCGGATAAACCCCCGGTCATCACCGTAAGCGATGGTTGATTATCATCGTCGCACGGAGAAATAGGTGTCCCCGAAACTAAGCACTGAAACACGAAAACAAGTGGGAGCAGAGCATGGTAACTCCGATGAACAGAGCTTTCCGGGGTAGATTGGGACAAAAAGAGGATCTAACACAAACAGGGTTTTCGATATCTGTGCCCTATGGGTGTATAGGAAATAAACTTCAGTGGCTCATCCTACAAAGGAAGCAGAACCCGAAAGTGGTGCGGCTAACTGAGCCGAAGGTAGTTCCGAATAGTCGCGGTGATAGAAATCGGTGTTTAGGCGAATTCCTGTAATATACAATTTAGCTAACCGGTCGATGCTGACTCAAAAGACTTGAAAGAAAGAAAAACGCTTGATTTTGATACGTACCACAAGAAACAATCGAAGTGGAAAGGTTCAAAGCGATTGTGACGAAATGGATTTCTTTGTGACCCTCACAAAGGGATACAGTTCTTTTCTTGTGAATCAATAAGATAAATAATAACAGAAAATTCCTGAGTAGATTTCGCCCATAGTGAAGCAAGAACTGTGAACAACTTCGCGAACATGAACTCCGGAAAGGAGAGAAATGACCTATATGGTTATGTAACTTGAAGTAATCTAACTTTTGAACAGAAGGCTAGTGTCAAGTGCAAGCGAAGTGATGAATCCAAAGTTACCAAGTTTGATATGCATGAAGACCGGACGATCTGCTTCGTAAAATACACGACCACTACACACATTATTTGTACTGCTGAGCCCTAGCCTATGGGAACCTATATTCATATTTAAACGGAAAATATTCTGAGTGCGGTCTGCATTTGCAGCTTTTTTCATGAATTGTGTGATCCCTTAATTCTCATAATTGTTTCTCAGATATTTTGTGAGCTATCTATCGGTTATGGGGCGATTTTCCTCTAAAATGTATCGTTCTCGTGAACAGCTTCCTTCGATTAGCACAGAATGTCCATTAATCTACTACTGGTAAGGGCTTTACTGTCGCTTTAAAAAGCATCTGGAGATACCGGTTTCGTGTGAAATTGAAATGCTAGCGTATCACACAAACCATGGATAGTATGTACACCGGTAGACCAGCACAGGTGGCACTGTTTAATGCAATAACACAGTCGGTCAACAAAACAACAATATGGTTGCCTACTTTTGGTTCCACTGTGGATCCGCCTTGAGCAAAGGTAAAGTCTACGAAGTGATTCAGGCGGCTCACTCTAGAGAATTCATCATCAAGCCCGAGATAGAGAGAGAACATCGATAAATCAGCAAGTCCACGTACAAGATGACTAGGCAGTGATATTGTAGAGTGATGCTGTAGACCAGCATCGAACTATCCAAATGCGAACCCGATAGCCGATTAATCATTTCGTTATAGAGCTCCTAACACTAACAATCGGTGTAACGCTGATTATCAACAACCCGATACATGGAGACTAAACAGTGAGGTTGAGGTCCAAGCTAGAAAACGCAGTGCGGTAAATGAAGTAAGATCTGTGTCCGCAAATCTCGTTGGTTCCAATGATGGTAGTCTCTTGTCTGACCCGATCAAATTTGGGGCGAGACGTAGAAAGACATCTGTTTATTTACTGTGCTAAATTGTAGTTTATTAACTGTAACAGTCATAACTGACAAGCGCGCCCAATGAGGACAGTGGAACGTGGAGCGACGATATAAGCAGCGAACACCCGACTTAATGGCTCTCTACTCAAGTACGATTTAGTTTACCACCGTCGAGATGAAACTGCAGGAAGAAGATCACTTTGTCAATTCAGCTGTGGAGGAGTAGGCTACCCATTAAATGTCTTTTATTACGTTCCATCAGTGGCATCTTCAAGGGTCACTATCAACAGTACGAGCTACAGTCGGTGGTTACGCTTCAGAGGATCGACGGAACGAAGGTTTGTTTAGCCACTAACGAGCTAATACATAATGACACTGCGGAAACTTACAATAAATAGACCAGATTTCATTGAATCCGAGTGAGAAAATTCAGGAAAACTACGCTAGCCGTGGGAAAAGTAAAAATTGTATCACCAATTTAATTAAAACCAAGGGTGGTGATGGTCAACCGATCCAGATCATCAATTTATTGCTACGGAGGGTGTGAGTTTGAATCCCATCATTTTCCTCGCTCTGTGTGATGCCGCTTTCGTCACTTGCCGCTTTTTTCGCCTTTCGGGGAAATTGTTTGTTTCATTATATAAATGCAATCAAAGGAAGAAAAAAATAGGGTAGAGAAGACCTTACAAAAGCAGGACTGTTGGTGTTCGCACACCGCTTTCTTCGTCGCATTGTGCGAATCTGGTATGGCGACCGGACGAGAAATTCTGGAATTAGGCATAGAGATTTAGATAACCACGGTGGCCCTCCACAGATTACGTTGGTTGAGTTATGTGCTAGGCATGTCGCCAAATAGGTTGCCACGGTGCGCGATGTTTACTAAGCCGGGTAGTGCGTGTAGAAAAGTCAAGGGTGGTCAAACTAAGACCTGACAAGAGGGTATGAACACCCTGACCATGAGACTCGGCTATATAGGTCCGGTTAGGCTCCTTGGATGGGAACCTCGGGACCATTGTAATCAAATGTTAGAGATATTGAGTGCTATGGTTCAGCGTAGTGAACAGTGGCGTTTGTGCATGTTCTCAATTTCTGTGCAATCTTAGTCTACTGATATTCTCCACTTTCTGTTCGACACCACTTTTAACTTTCCCGTCCATCCACTGTTTCATCCAAATGGGAAGCCAAAAGACAGAAATCAAAACCGGCGCACGAAAGTGCATGGTTAATGGGCTGTACAAACTGAAACTGAGACATTTGTTCTCACTGGGCAATAAGCGTGTGCATCAATGCGATGAATGAACATAGATATCCAATTAATTAAACTGGAGTCTAAATGAACCAACAAATTGCAAACATAAGTCAATCAGGATACCAGCACTGAGGTCCCTCCATTTTGGCATTTTCTGCAATTCGAATATCGACAATACCGCGAACATTAGGCAGCGAAACTACAGAAACGTGAACGATGAAAAGTTATTTTATTGCATACCTAAGTGTGGTGAACAGCTGACGGGGTGAACCCCATAGTCACGAGGACTTGGTGTTTCGTGGTGGAAACCGGCAACCTAAGCCCCGGGAGTTGGAGTGGTGAACCACCTAAAACCCCGATAGGTCAGGCGTGGTATTGAACCGGACGACAGCAGAGGTGCCAACCACCAAAGTCGGGTGGCGGGGCTTGAACCTCGGACCATAGGGTCCAAAGCACGCGGGTGACAGCAACTACACCACTGGGTCATCACCACCCTATTTAGTTTAATTTGTCCCTCCAGAGTACTACATTCGACGACTGTGGGATGTGAAAACAGCCTGCCTCAACTTCAAGCGTTTCAAACATTGGGATTACAGAAATTTTGTGGTTGAATCTGGTACTGAGTAACGATCGATGTAGCTAGGGGAAGGGAGAACCCGGGTTTGATCCAACTTCGTTCAGTAACACTCTAGTGATCAGTTTCTGGTCCGTTACAAAATCGTGCTCTGGGGTTATCTGAGAACAAGGAAAAAAGAACAATGGATGAGAGAACTGCTTATGGATAGTTGCTCATGACTGCTCCATATTTCGTATGAGAGAGGGCGGAATTGTGTACTTTAATCACTCCATTTATGCCAATAATTTCATCCACCAGGAATTGAAAATCAATTGCTTTGCTTCAGTGAACACGAACACCAAGGTTATCGATTCCTCTGACTGAAACAAGTGACCCTGGAGATGTGTTTGTGGTCAATCGCTTCCGGTCTTCCGAGATTTTGGAACAGTGATCAAACGTGTTTGTTGGGTATCCGGTAGTTTTTTGGGGCCTTTGGAGCCGTACACTTAATGAAGTGAATCAGAGATAGGCATAGAGCTGGGGATGTTCAGTTTGAGATAGACAGACAATCTAGTGAAGTGTAAAGATCTGTCTCACACTCGAGAGGGTTCTGGATATCCAATCATGCGTTCATCGAGTGAGAAAGGACAGACCGATCAACTGCTTCTTCTCTTCTGAATTAATTAGCTTGTTTCTTAGAGGAGACAGATGGCAATTAATAAAAAAATCACTCAACGTGCATCGGTTGACTACGTTAGATCGGTTCTTTGAGCCTCCAACAATGCAGCTTCAGTGAGTCATTTTGTATAGTCCACCTGGTAGCAGGGGCAAGCAAACCACCGCTCAGTGTGCATCTGCTCAATAATGGATCTCAATGAAGCATACTATCATAACTATAGACCTTCCTGGGAAAAGAAAAGGTTGTACTCAGATTAGATATTACCCGGTACGGGCTGGTCAAGTTTGAACACGAGATGTTAATTGATCAGTGGGCGAAAACAAGTGCAAACCGCTGGTCACAGTTAGGAAATAAAATGCATAGAGCACTTCGGACAACAGCTACACTGAGTTGTTTACCAGAGAGTATAGATTAAGACATCGATACAGGCGACAAATGCGGACCAATCTACCCTGTTTGAAACTCACCGTTTCACCATTGGGATACGCGTCTCCCAATTATTGAACGTTCCACTAATGTAGATATCTCGTCCACCACCATTCCATCGGAACACCGTAGGGCATTTTCGCTCGCCTTCTTCGTGCGATGGATCTGGCTGCTGTGATCGTTCTGAAGGATTCTGTTGTTTGTGCTGGTTTTGATATGCGCGTAAAGCAGCTGAAGTGGTCGGGGTGGTACGTGCACGCTGCCGGCCACTGGAGGTAGAACTGTCATTATCTAAGGCGCGTCGTTTCTCTAAGGGGCTGGAGTAACCGATGCTAGACGGCCGTTGTTGTTGCTGTTGTTGTGGTTCAGTATGTGCAGTAAGCTCGCTCCCTAAAGCAACCATATCGTCCTTGGCTGGTCCTATGTTCAGTGACGGTGTCGGAGAACTGGCCGAAAGCTCGGGGCGCGGATGATGAGCTTGGTTGATTGAATCCCGTAGACTGGCTGCTCGAAGCATAGAGGTCGCCTCGTCCAAATCGGCACAATCTTGTCCAAGTAAATGAGCGACCATAGCTGGCCCGGATTCACAGTTATCCTCCGGATAATCTGGCGGGGCGGATTTGGATAGGTCCTGTGTGTGTTTCATAGAAACAAATGTACATGTACATAAACAATGGGTGGAGAGAGAAAAAAGAACACATTTTTCAAAGCAAAGTTAGGGTAGAGACTAAACAGTCTGAAGTGCGCACACACGTATGTGAAGTTGACTATTCACTACTTGAAAAAAGAGGTCGCATGCACAAACAAACAAGTTTCAGCTTCAGAAAACTCAGTCTTGAGGAGTAAACTAGAAATTATTCCAACACAATATGAAAATCAAGTGTATTTCGTCAACATCAGACATTATTGAGAAGGTCACAAATGATTCCCTCAGAAGTCATTCGTATGACGCCCGTAACAACTACTGTGCTAACTACTAAATTTCACATAATATCACCTAACATCACGATCGCAAGCACACTGTTGTTCGATTGCAGAAATCCATAACACTCCATTGTTTCAAATCAGAGCAAGGATAATTCCGATTTCCTATAAAAACCATTTTCTTTGTTCTATTTCAAAAGAAAAGACCGAATTGCAATACTGCACGATTTATGTCCAAGACGATTTCGCTGCATCTCAACATGGTGCATACTGCAGAAAAAACATCAAATATATAGGAATTTAGCATGGCAACAAAGAAGAGTAAAATACAATGAAACGGACAAACATAAAAGGGGGGAGGGGTTAAATAGACTGTCACCAGGGTAAGGATAAACTAACAAAGTTCTTTTTGTTGACACAAGGGGGGCTTCCATCGACTGATAGCAATCGCTTCTGTAAACCGTAGCAATCTTGCGATTCGTGATTTGTAGATAATCCGAAACACCATGCTTCGGTCGATCTGGTGTTGCGTCATCAGAAGATGTTGAGCTATGGCTATTTGTTATTGGCATGGAACGATTTGGATGGATAATCGTTAGATCAATGAAAAAAATTACCATGACAACGCATTCCTCATTTTTAGAAGCTTCAAATTAGTGTCCATACGCTATTTCACATTAATTCCGTTTGCATTAGAACCTCGCATCCAGTTCTGACATAAATCTCTCATTGACTTATTAGAAAGAAACACATGAATGGACCAAACATCGTCTGAACTCTACGCGTCACATTCACGGTGATCGACAGTATCTCTAACCTTTGATTACAACGATTCCGAGGTCCCAACCAGGGAGCCTAACGCGACCTATATGATCGAGTCTCTCAGTAAGGGTTTTCATACCTTCTGGTCAGGTCTTATTTTGACTAACCTTGGCTTTTTTCCACCCACTGCCTGCCTCGGCTAGCATCACAAGCCTTGGCAATCGATTTGGTGACAAGCGTAACACATGCCCGAGTCAATGCAATATATGGAGGTCGACCACTTGCTCCAGGGGGTGACTAAGGTTATCTAAAACTCTGCGCCTAACCCCAGCATTTTTCGTCTGGTCGCTCTGCAGATATCGTGGATGTGAGTAGAGCACGGAAACCCAGTGGCAAAACAGCTTATTTACGAACAGAAACCCAGAAGTTTACTATAATTGGTCTGTAACACCGTTTATGGTTTCATAATCAAAGAGAGACTTATAAGCTGATTAGAAAATGATAGCAAACAAGGTTACAGTCCCTGAGGAGAATGCCTAGTCAAGTGGGCTGTGGATAAGTGAAGCTGCAGTACACACTAGAATGCGGTTTTCGGGAAAGGCTTGTTCACTATTTGGCTACTAATCCAAACTTACAGTTTGATTGGGTCATTTAGAACGACGATTTGGTTTAGTTCCAATGGCGAGTGACAGGCTTAGGTGGTTCACCGCGTTAAATGTTAATTATATTAAGGTCTGTAGTAAAGACACATCAAGAAATATTTTGATAATACCGATTGCTACAGTATCGAGTGAATGAATAATATAAGGTTGAGTACACAGTACTGATTGTAGACAAGCGAGCTCACAACGTAGTCACGACGCACCGGTCCCATCCACTAAGTCAACACCGTCTGAATGACATATTTTATCTCATCACTCTGATGAACAGTGCGCGGTCAATCGGTCAATCAAATATGTGTGGTTACTAACTTTATGAAATTAAAAAAAAATCAAAATCAATGGTTTTTCTTTGTGCTTGTGTTTGTGTGTGTATGTGACTGTATTGATCACGGTATATACGATAAAAAGACACGCACATAGTTCTTTTCGATTACCGTCTATGGGGAAGTAATCGAAAGGAAGTTAGCCAGCTTGCGGATTGATGAGAAACATGAAAAGTAAGAGAATAAGCAAGAATGTGTAAGGGTGACGGAAATCGAAAAAAAGATGGATACGCCTACTAATGACCTCGAAAAGGAAATTCTCTCTCTCTCTCTGAACGACAGAGAACAGCACGACAGCAACGGACAATGGACTGGTAGATTATCAGAGGTAGACTTTTTTTCTGTCACACGCTTCGAATGGACTTTAGTTCAAACAGATTTCCGGTTTAAAGATGAATATGTTCGATAAGACGACATGTAACGCATATGTGTTGTACAACAAAAGAATCGCATCGTCTGCGATGCGATGAATGTTAACCCCACTGAGTTTTCCGTAGATGAACACTTACACCTGATTTCAAAACCGGGAGTTACCTGTGAACACAGTTAGTCGTTCAATTCTGAAACTTCTCTTTACTAAGCACTACTGTGCTGAACAACAATAGTGTGGGAAAACCCTATAGTCACCATGATCTACTGCTCGTTAATAAGAGCCGGCAACTGGAGTAACGAACCGCACAAAGCACCATTAACATGTATGGTTTTTGTTCAGAGTAGAAATGCGCGTGAGGATATTTTTCCTGAGGTTTATGCATAGTATGCTATTGAGTTTGAGGATCAGATAATGATGGCTGTTCCGTTGCTTTTCTGATGTAAAAGCGACGAAAACTTTGATTACATTCTATTATCTGACAAATAGACGAAGGGGTGGATCTCACAGTCAAGAGGACCAATTCATGATAACCGATAATCTGAGTCACGGAATTTGCAGCGGCAAATTGCATAAGGTCCCTTCGGTTAGGGGACGTACTGAACCGAATGACAACGAGGTTACCTGCGATCAAAGGTAATTCGATCACACACATGTTCATTCCCAGAGATCTTTACTCATTGTAGTTATTTAGTTACTTATTATTAGAACTGCTCTAGTGGACTTGATTTTGTAATGCCTATTGAATTCCTCATCTTCGACCCACTAACCGGATATTATGAACACATTGTTACCATAGGTAACAAAGAAAAAGGATTAAAACGTTATCGAATGTAATGCAAGCGGGAAATTCAATATCGAAATAAGCAGGAAAAACGGGCAACACCTAGTGAAATGGGTGGGCTTGGGGCTTGAAGCTAACAGGATCATGAATTGATGACAGAGGCGAGAGCATGATTGTACCACACAAACACGAATTTTGTAAACTAGCGAGAGAAGTCAACTGACGGCTCTCAATCCTTGGTGGCCCTGGGGATAAATTGAATTCGCGAATGCGAACGAACTTACGCTTGACTGTTAATGAAACGCATCTTATTTACAACTGTATAAAAAAGCAAAACGGAAATGTGAACTGTTCATTGTCCTGATTCAGACTATTTTACGAGGACCCCGTGATTGATGATGGCTCAAACGAAAATGGATTTACAAAAAAAAGGCACTGAGTGAAATCGCGCGCTACGACTAAAATTTTGATCCATATGATGTGCGTATGTGTGTTTTTGAGCGCGCGCGTTCCTCAACTCGGACCGTATTCATGAAGCTTATTTCATTTCCAAACACCTCACACGTAGTTCGTGTAACTGGCTAGCGAAGGCCTGACCGAGGTGTGTGTAGTTATACTGTTGCGGTGTGTAGCCTCTTCTTGATTGATCAAATATAGCGAACTAGATCCGGACAAAATAAAATAAAAGAACGGATGAGGAAGCATCAGATCTCCTTGATGGGTGTAAGAGTGTATTCTGTTGATCTGGACGTGATGATCCGAACCCACGTGATCGGTTATCTTATTGTCTTATACTATACTATACTCTCATTTTTACTCTCCCTCTCTCAAGTCCATTGAAAGCAAGTGTGCTTTATTTATCCATTGTAGACAACATTTTCAGTCAAAAAGTTATCACTTTAACTGCAGTGTGGGTCGACGTAAACCGGTTACACCGTTATAAACGGCGATGGATCTGTAAGGGAGTAAAATCCACGGCAGAACTACATGACATTTGGCTTCCGACTGTCGAATAAACATGTCCTGTAAACGAATACTGGGGAGCCAACACGGAGCACTACGGGACCGCGAAAACTGGTGTGTTACGGACACATGATAGGTTTCGCATTTATGGCGAGCGACAAACGCAGACCTAGAACAAGGAACAACTGAATATTGAAAGAGGAATGTCAGACAAGATTGAACAAATCGGTTCTCCTTTTACATGTACTATCTATCAGTCACGGTATTTGTCATATCTTAAATCCCCCAGGTGATGACTTACTGACAATATTTCGTGGGTCAGATGCATCCAAGCCTCAAAAAAGTCGACTTTCTAATTTTCTGATATTAAGCAGCACATGAATAACTGATCTGCATCTTTGATCCACTCAAATGATTGCTTGAGAATCGGCCACAATTGACTCTCTGATGGAACATCCCGAAAGATAAAAGCATTCTCTCGACAGCTCAACACGGGTTTAGGCAAATGCGATCCTGCACCACGAACCTGCTTCTCGTTTGAGATGAATGTACCAGTACAGTTGACGAAAGGCATGCGGTGGATGTGATTTATCTGGACTTCGCGAAAGCATTTGATCGAGTGAATCACAAAATTTTACTGCAGAAGCTCTATAATTATGGCGTTCGAGATTTCGCATTTGAGTGGATCAAAGCATTCCTCGATCAACGAAACATATCAATTCGTGTTTCTAATTGTATCCGGACCCATCAAAGCCACCCGCGGTGTTCCACAAGGGTCCGTACTCGGTCCCCGTCTGTTCCTCGCCTTGGTAAATGATCTACCGAAAGTGTTAGGCTCAAAAACAATACTGTTTGTAG